GGCGGCGGGGCAAGACGACAGGAGGGGCCCTCTCTGTGTCGCCATTAACCAACCTCCTCCACAGGAACGGGTCATGGGGCAATGGCTTTCCTCGTTTACAACATCTTAACCCGGTAAATTATTCATGTCCACTCTTTTATGGTCTCCAACCATTGGGCCTTCTCCCAAGTGCTGAACTCTTCTGCCGTCATCACAGGCTGGGCGAGTTGCCTGCGTGAGGGAGGGGAGACCGGGCTGCGGAGATGGTCGTGGAGGAGGGGAAAGCGGTTCAAAGCATCGTTTCCGTGGAACCGAAGGCGAGAAAGGGGGTCCTATCGTCAGCGGTGGACCTGCTGGAGAGGGTGGTTGTGTATTTCACTGGTCACTGGGGCAAGCCCAATTACTACCTCTCCGGTAACTTCGGCCCCGTGCTGGAGGAGACGCCTCCCTGTAGAGAACTCAAAATCAGAGGAACCCTCCCGGTATCTCCTACGAATTTCTAGACCATTGAGAAAAAGAAAAGCAGAAGAAAGAAGCTGGAAGAAAGTAACTTATTCCATCTTTGTCACCGGCAATGAGCAGCGTTTTCTTTCTCCCTGTTCTTTGGCCAGGAATGCTTGAATGGGGAGTTCGTCAGAGTAGGGCCCAACCCCAAGCTGCCTCCGGTGGCTGAATACCACTGGTAACTTTGTTGTCTTTGTGAAGAATGCTGCAAGCTTTATAGTTGCATGGGACGTCACAACTCGGTTTTTATGTAGTTGAGCATCAACATTTCTGCGATAGGTCTCAGGTTGAAGACTCATCATTTGTCTTCTCCATATTTTGATTCTTTTTGTGGTAGACTGTGGTAAATCTCTTGTATTCAAGAGCCCACCAAGTAAATGTCAGTGATTACGATTCATCAAGATCTTTGGGCTCCCTATCCTCTGTGTGATTTTTGGGAGATGAAGCTTGGCATTGCATCTGACAAATTGGCCTGTATTGCCAAACCGCCATTATTATTTCTGATTCCTTGCTAAGAGCTCATCTTTCATGCATGTAGATTTCCTTCTAGAAAGCAGTTGTTCAATTACCTTATTATGATGATAGCTTCTGTTCTTGAATTTCTTTCAGGTTTGATGGCGATGGGTAGGTGTTTTCAGAGTCCCTCCTGGAGAGAGCCTCATTCATCAAAGCTATTTTTTTTCTCGCCATGTGCATCTTTCTGAACAAAAATCTGCAGAATCCAGTTTGGGTTCTTTGCTTGTGGCCCCAAAAAGGATTTTTTTTTTAATTCTTGCCATTTTCACCGAAAACGTTTTAAGAGTAAAAAATATCGTGGATATTGAGATAGACTGATTGCTTTCTATTAGATTACCTACTTAATTTAGACGGTACTAAATCGTATGATTGCGCTTGTGCTATGTGAGCTTCATTCATGTTACTAGAAACGGGCTTTGCATCTGATGGGACATATCAGAATAATCCTGACATTAGAATGAGTTGAACTAAACTGTGTCTATGCAAATGGAATCATCTTCGCTTATTATGGGTTTGTTCTGAATTCTGATAAAATTTATTAGAAGCTGATTGGGAAGAAGATTACTAAGTGGAAGCGCTTCTCTTGCTCACTGATGAATTTTATGTGCCTTTATGTGTTCTTAAAACGATGGTGATGAAGAATGATTCATGGGATCCGTATCAAAGATGGGAAGGCGAGCTATGTCTCAAGATATGTGCAGACTTCGCGACTTAAACAGGAAGAATATTTCGGACGGGCAAAGTTCATGAAGGTAATCTGGTTAAAAAAACGGTGTTTTCACGTCGATTAGCTTCCCTGTTTGGGATATCTTCCTAATAACATATTATGGAACATTCTAATTTCTTGAACAGTCATAAATATTTTTTGTTCATTATTAAAATTGGAGAACATAATGAGGCAGAACTATCATAATTTCTAATGACTGATTATTAGGGACTAGTCTCCAACTTTTATGGCCTGTTCAATGTCTTATAGAGAAAACACTTTCATCGTGGTTGCTCTTTCATCATCAGGTTGGAGACCTGAAAGGATTCTTTGGGCTTTTTATGGTTTATATTTCTCAACTGCGAGAAAAACTGAAAATCTTGGATCTTTCATACGGAAGAGGAACAGGTAAGCTCAACGAGTATGCCTGATTAAAGTTCGTCTTAAAGCTGAGCTGAATCTGCTTCTCATTTTATTTTTTTAATTTTTGATCATTGGATCTCATGGTTTAGCCTGATTTCAGCCAACACAGCTCTTGTATACCATCATGGTAAACTCTTAGCCCTTTCAGAAGGTGATAAACCCTGTAAGCACCTTTCCATTTTTCTTCCTTTCTGTGAATTTCCTTCGAAAACATTAAATCCCTTTGTAAAAATTATATAGCTATGATTTGGTCTCATTGAATGAAGATTAATGGGACCTTTCCGATTTCCTCGAACAGATGTCGTCAAGATTTTGGAAGATGGAGATCTCCAGACACTTGGGCTGTTGGATTATGACCGACGGCTAGCACATTCCTTCACTGCTCATCCGAAGGTGGATCCATTCACAGGTGAGGGTTTGATGTTATCTCGTCCCAATGCCCATCGTCCACCTGAAGGTGATCAAGGCACTGCCTAGCAAGAAGTTTTTTATGATTCATACATGAGAATCAACCAGGCAAGTCACTTGGCAATGCTAGGAAGGTGCTGTCACGGCGATAGCTAGTTGATCATCCAGCTCAAATTTCGTAAATTAAACCCAGATTGCAAGAACAAGTTAATTAGGTTTAGTAATAATCAAGAGGGAAAAAGGTTTTCTATGAACCTAGCATTATGGGTGCATATTCTTCATGTTCTGAATAATAGTGGGCTTATCGCATCCATATGCTACTAGATTTTCCAACATGATTGATTGAATTGAATCTAGGAGGCTCATCTCTGTTGCAGATGAGATGTTCACATTCGGCTACTCTCAGTCGCCACCATATGTTACCTACCGGGTCGTGACAAAAGAAGGCATCATGCTCGATCCTGTCCCGATAACGATACCAGAATCGGTGATGATGCACGACTTCGCAATCACTGAGAACTATGCAATCTTTATGGATCTTCCTCTTTATTTCCGCCCAAAGGTGCTTCGCGAGTTCAGAAGACTTGCATCTCTTGAATTTCTTTGAAGAACTTGCTTGAAGAGCTCTAGTGGCAAGTGACTGTGGAATTCAAGTCAATGCTTTGTTTCCTGGTTTTGAAATGGAATCCGGCTGTCTGCTTCTGTTCGTCGCAGGAAATGGTCAAAGAAGGGAAGATCATCTTCTCATTTGACCCATCTAAGAAAGCCAAATTCGGCATTCTTCCCAGATATGCCAAGGATGAGCTCCAAATCAAGTGGTTTGAGCTTCCGAATTGCTTCATATTCCATAACGGTGATCTCTCTCTCTCTCTCTCTCTCTCTCTCTCTCTCTACATAGATATATATATATATATATTTGCATAAATATTTTACATTACTGCATTGTGTTGGTTCTTGGCCCAAATACTGTGGATGGATGTTTTCTGAGCTGGGGGTTCATCTCCAACATTATCCATTTGTTCCTTTGTGGCAGCAAACGCCTGGGAGGAGGACGAGGAGGTCGTTCTGATTACCTGCCGCCTTGAGAACCCAGATTTGGATATGATGAATGGAGACGCATCCGAGACGCTTGACAACTTCAAGAACGAGTTGTATGTGATCTGACGATCTGAAGTACCAGCCAGGTTTTAGACTCGTTGACCATCGGGTTTCTCTCTCCTTTCCACATCAGGTATGAAATGAGATTCAACATGAAGACCGGCGCCGCCTCCCAGAAGCAGCTCTCACTCTCCATCGTCGACTTCCCTCGGATCAACGAGAGCTACACCGGACGGTCTGTTCCCTTTGCCCAAAGCAGAGATAGAAAGAGAATCCTCGCTAAAAATGGAATCTTGGCCGCAATCGATGATCTCTAGTTCATGCGGTTTTGGAAAATTCGGTGTGGATGCAGGAAGCAACGGTTCGTTTACGGGACCGTTTTCCACGCGGTGACGAAGATCAAAGGCATAGTGAAGTTCGATCTTCATGTGGAGCCGGATATCACCGGGAAGAAGAAGCTCGAAGTAGGGGGAAATGTGCAGGGCATTTTTCATCTGGGGCCCGGGAGGTTCGGCTCCGAGGCCGTCTTTGTGCCTCGTGAACCTGGAGTCTCGTCTGATGAGGATGATGGGTACTTGATATTCTTTGTGCATGATGAGAAAACAGGGTACTCTCTCTCTCTCTCTCTCTCTCTCTCTCTCTCTAATTATGATCTTCTGTCCCCGACAACATTCGGTCGCCATCGCTGCAGGAAGTCCGAAGTCAATGTTATCGATGCGAAGACGATGTCTGCGGAGCCGGTGGCTGTCGTGGAGCTCCCGAAGAGAGTTCCCTATGGATTTCACGCCTTCTTTGTCACAGAGGTACGCTTTCCAGTTAGCCCCTTGGATAGAGAGAGAGAGAGAGAGAGAGAGAGAGAGAGAGAGAGAGAGAGAGAGATTTTGACGGGATTGCTAAGTGGGCCTCTCCATTTTGGACAGGAACAACTGGAAAAGCAGGGAAAGATCTGATTAGATAGAGTGCCGGCCAACCTCTCAGTCATCTGTCTCTCTCTCATCAGTGGGGAATTTACGGTCGGCCAAGTTTGTTTGAATCAAAGCCTTGGCATATCAATATATCTAAGAAAATCTTGGAGATATCTGAGAAATGGGATGCTCAGAAAGCCAACCATTCACTCGTCTTCAAAGAAAAACCTTGGAAATATTCATGTAATGTTTATATGTCTATATAAATATACCGTGGTAGTGTACACGGCTGAGCAGAGAGTGCTCTGTCTGTCTCTCTTTCTCTGTCGCGAAGTTGTTTCCTGGAATGCATTCTCAGAATGGATCCGAGGAATCGTCGTTAGCAAAGAATATAATGGCATTGGTACCGATGAGGAGTGGGGGCAGAGGAGAGGTACGTGGAATTTTCAACGATTTTGGGATCACCAGTAATCCCCACAGGAGCAGGATCCACCGTCAAGTCGGTGGAACCTATTGTTATCCCTCAGGATCACCGTCCGCCCCGTGTATCCCGACACGTGCTTGAGCCACGTGTGACAGTCCCCACAGACCCTCAGATTCTTCATCACCCTGATTGGCCTCCCCGGCGGTAACCGTATAAGCGCGAAAGCGACCGCCAGCCTCTCACTGTGGGCCCCCATGGAACGCCTCTTCTCCTCGCCTCCCTCTTCCCTCGGCACGAACCGGGTATCCGCCACGTACCCCTCCGCCGCCGCCGCCGCAGCCAGCTCTGCCACCTTCTCGTAGATCTCCTGCCGCAACGGGTGGCGCTGGTCGCCGGAGACGAAGGTGTGGACCTGGTTCCCCCACTCCACCCAGCTCAGCCCCGTCTCCTTCTTCAGCCCTCTGTCTCTCATCGCCTTCCTCGCCACGGCAGCGCTGGCGTAGTCCCCCGCCGCCGCGTACGCCGCGGCGAGCAGCATGTGTGCGCCGCTGCTCGTTGATCCCTTCTCGAACAGGCGGCCGGCGGCGAGCGCTGCCGTGCCGGTGTCGCCGTGGAGCCGGCAGCCGGTGAGCAGAGCCCCCCAAACAGCGTCCGTCGGCTCGACGGGCATCTTGTCGATGAACTCCACCGCCTCCGGTAGCCTCCCTGCACGGCCGAGGAGGTCCACCATGCAGGCGTAGTGCTCCGGGCCCGGCTGGATCCGGTGCTCCGCCGCCATGAAATGGAAGATCTTCTTCCCCTCCTCCACGAGCCCCGCGTGGCTGCAGGCGGAGAGCAGGCAGAGGAAGGTGACGAAGTTGGGGCTCACCCCCTCCATCTTCATCCTCTCGAAGAAGGCGAAAGCGTCTCTGGTTCGCCCGTGCTGGGCGCAGGCGATGAGGATGGAGTTCCAGGCACCGAGATTTCTGGTGGGCATTTCGTCGAACAGCTGATGGGCTTCCTCTGGTGCGCCACATTTGGAGTAGAGGGAGATGAGGGAGCTCCCTACGAAGCAGGAGGAGTCGAAGCTGGTCTTGAAGCAGTGGCCGTGGATCTGCCGGCCCAGCTCAAGGAAGGTGGCGCCGCCGCAAACGCGGATGATGCAGGAGTAGGTGAAGTCGTTGACCCCGCCCATGTCACCGCTGACGCCGTCGCCCAGAAGCACCATCTTGAACAGCGCGAGGGCTTCCTCCGCCATGCCTATCTGGGCGTAGCCGTAAATCATGCCGCTCCATGAGACGATGTTCTTTTCGGGCATTTCATCGAACAACTTCCGGGCGTCCCAGATTTCCGCACATTTGGCGTACATGTCAACGAGGGAGCTGGCGACGAAGATGTCCAAGTCAAAACCCGTCTTGGCAGCGAGGGAGTGGACGGCGCCGCCGGAGCGGCTGTCGGAGAGGGCGGCGCAGGATTTGGCGGCGGAGGGGAATATGTGGTCGTTGGGCAAGGTGCCGGCGCGCATCATGTCGACGAGGGCGTGGAGGGAGAGGTGAGGGAGCTCGTTCTGGGCGAAGGAGGAGATGAGGGAGGACCAGGTGGTGGTGGCGATGGCGGCAGCACCGGGGGGCTGGTTGCGGCGCCGCTGGCGGGAGCATTCCTGGAACACGAGGTGGGCGAACTCCGGGAGCTGGCACTTGGAGTAGAAGTTGATGAGGTGGTTGGCGAGGATGGGGACTAGGGCGGCGCCGGACTTGACGACGTGGGCGTGCAGCTGCTGCCCTCGGCGGGCGGAGCGGGTGGTGGTTTGGGCGGCGATGAGCTCGCACATGCGGCGCGTGCCTCCGCCGGTGAGCTGGAGTGCCGCCATGCTCGCCTGCAAGCCGGGCATCCGGCGGAGGCGGAGGCGGTGGTGGCGAGAGCGCCGCCGTCTCGCCGGCGGTGGGGCGGCGGTGGTGGTGGTGGTTTCCTCACTTTGCGAGAATATACGAGACCTGCGGCGCTCCAAATATCTGGCATTTTTTCGATTTAAATAATTCAATAAATGATTTCGACGTGTTGAATAAAAAATCTTCAAATAGAAAAATCGTATAAAAATGTGGATTTACTTTTTTCGGACTCCTACTGGATACGTAGACCCGAAAGGAGATCCGCTTAGGCAGGGCCCCCTCGGCATTCCAGTTCTTTGTTACAAGGGAGGGGGGAAGGGGGAAGAAGGGGACAATCGGTCGGTGTGAAAGCAGCGGCCGGAGCTAGGGTTGGGAGATGGCGATGGCGGGTCGTATGAGGTCCGGTTTCTCTATCTTCCATAAGACACTGAAGGCGGAATCGGCCGTCGAGCATGGGAGGATTGGAAGCCCTAGCAACATTGTTTCCCAGGTAAACCGGGAAGCCCAGAATAGGCCTGTTGTTGGACAGTGCGTGATGTTTATCGAGAGAGACTGTCTGTGTCTGGATTCCGTCGTCGCTCGTTTGGATCGAAGTCCTTTCGTTGATCCTTGCAACCGATCATGGTGTTCCCTCGTCTCATAGCGTTTCCTGAGTTATAGATTTCTCGCATTGTATTCTGTTACCGACAGAGTGAGAAAACGGTCACTCTTCGTTTCAGAGTTCTGGCATTCGATGGGGATCGGGAACGACCTTTACGTATCTACTATTATTCCTGTCGGTGAAATGCAGCGCGCGTGTTTGTTTTAGACGGGAACTTATTACAAGCTTATTGTTCTTCCTCGCATGTTTAATTTTCTGCTATTCGTTTCACAACATTTCTAATTCTCCCTCCTCTTCAGCATCTGAGGAACTACGCGACTGGCAAGAGCTCCAAGGAAGAAAGTATCAAGGTAAAATGTTTTCATTGGGTGCCTCTTTTCTAGCTTTATCCCCACCAGACCAGTGGTTGCTTACGTTTTCCTATTGAAATATTTTTTCGTTTCTTTTCTCTCCGGAAGTGGATCCATTTCCTGTTTGTAGAGATCGTGCATTTTTTTAATCTTTATACTTCTTCAGATAAATGGCAGCAATGCTTGCGTATAGTATTGAAGATTCTTTTTTTCAAATTAGTATGTGGAAGAAAGCCTCTTAGCAATTCCATCTGACATGAATAAATTTAGGTATATCTCTCCTTCAAAGTTTACACATGTTTTGAACGTTGTTGGTTCCTTATGTGATGTGGGGTGATTAATGTAATCCTTACCTATCCTACAATTTTTTAAAACAGAAAATACATTTTCAAAAGAATTTTTGTAAATTTAACAAGTCGTCCCTAGAAACCCTTTACATGCTTATAGATGTTCCACATGATCGTCACACACTGGACCTGAGGAAGATAGTAGAATTTACTTTGGTCATTTTGCTCCAAGTCGTGAGAACGCAACTTTGCTAGTATGTTACAAACATTTCGATATTTCGTAAAAGGCCCAACAATGTGTACATTTTTAATTCAAGGGTCTCTTTAAACAGGAGGAAGACACGAGGAAATGCATGCAGGATTCCATTTTGTGCAGAAAATGTTTATCTGCATTTAAGACAGAAAATTGATCTCAAGCATAGGATGGACAAATGCTAAGAATGGCATTTGATTACACCAGGGTTGGGCTGCAGAAAGCTAGAGTTTTGGACAAACCTGGCTGAACAGGAACAAAGTTGTCCCTTGGTAGGCCTAGACAGGTCCTCAAAGTAGGGGTAGATAATTGGAGGCAACTGATTTTGGAAGTGAGGTAGTAGAAACTAAGCAGCCGTTAAGTGTAGGTCATTTTGATTCAACCTTGATTAAAGCTATTGTGGCTTTCTTAGGATCTTGCTGGCCTCTAGATAGGTTTATGGGTCTATACACTAACAGAAACAGGTGACGTGATTATTCAGGTATCTCTCCTGGATATCAATCAATCCCTATGTTTCACTATGTGTAATGTTTCTTTTTGTATATCACATAACTTCCGCATCAGTTTTTGTTTATTTTCTTGGTTTATTATGTAGGTGATGTCTATGCCATATCTAGTTGAGTGTTTGCATTTAGTATTTTATTTGACAATAGAATGCATAATTACTTCCAGAATTACTCTTCTTTGCGTTTATCTTGTGGAATAATTGAATTGTTTTCTGAATTTGGCATAAACAAAAATTTATCACGTGAAAGCGATAGTCATGCATGCTTTGGTGGAGACAATTCTGATTTAGTTAGAATGTTAAACACCATTGTATACTGCTTTATCTTTTCCAATGGGTTCACTTATGTAAAAATGTAGTTGACTATTTCTTCAACGTTCAGTCATTCCTCACATGAAGTCTTTCAATGAATTCTTTCGCAATTGCTATTGCAGACTACTTGTGAACTCTGCTGACTATCACATTTTCAGGTGCCTCTGTCATTATTCGGAGTTTCTGGGAACTATGCATCTGCGCTTTTTATTGCATCCTCAAAAGCAAATTCATTGGATAAGGTTGAGGGGGAGTTGACGAGGCTTGTTGCAGCTTCAAAAGAGAGCCCTGTATTTTCTCAGTTTATAAAGGATTTGTCTGTGCGTGCGGATGTTAGGGTGAAGGCTGTACAAGAGATCTTTTCTGAAGCCGGTTTTTCAGATGTCACCAAGAATTTTCTTGGTATGAGATTAAACTACTTCCTAGCTTGCCAATGTTCTTGAAGTGGCATCATGTGTGTCTTTGGTATCATGTATCTTACTGACTAGGGGGATTGTAGGACACTAAGAGGGAGATAAAACGATAAAAGTGAAGATAAGTGATGGAGGTAAAGGATATTCATGTGACCATTGTGCTGTGCCTCAGATACCATAAATTGGAGCGGTATTATATAGCCCATATCTGCATCCCTTGATCGGAAAATTCTGCAAAGAATGTTGCCAGCATCAATGGCCTAGATCGAAGTGGAGACGACTTTAATCCATTTAGCTATCCAAGTCAACTTTAACCCTGCTTTAGGACTCTGGGTACCTGGCCCTGTTATGATACAATTGAAGGTCGAACTGCACTAGTCAAACTTTCTGCCATGGGGACATTCCCAGTAATGCCATTGGCCCACCTCCATGTAATGTTCATTGGCTATCCTCAGATCAGCTGACCAGAGGCATATTCAGGGAATTTATGTTTATGTAAAATATAGATATACATATCACACGTTGTGTCAAGAACAGTTGGGTTTTTGAAGGTTTTTACCAACTTAATCACGTGCTTAAACTTGTTCCCAAATTGATGTAGGGCTTATGTTGCCTTAAATGCCTTAAATGGATGTTTCTACTTATGTTAGCTCGTTGCATATTTATTGTTATACTTCTGTTTCTCTTCATGTCTTGTTTGGGTGCTGGATTTTGCTCAACTCAGATTTCTCAAGGTTTAGCTTGTCAAGTGGACAACCTTCTTTGTCCGAATTTTGATCTTGTCATCTTTTTGGAAAAGCTATAATGGCTGAGAAGGGAAGGCTGAGGCACCTTGAGAAGATTGCTAAGACCTTTTCAGATTTGACAATGGCGCACAAGGGTGAAGTGAAGGTTACTGTGACGACTGTGATTGTAAGTCTCCTCCCTCATGGTTGTCTCTGATATCTATCCAGCAGTGTACATGATGGTTAACCAGCTTTATTTTTTAAGTGAGCTCATTGGGTTATCAGTTCACAGCTATAAATAGTATGCTTTATATGCTTTCAGATGGTATTTTTTTTCTTGTTTTATGTAATGTAGAAATTGCGGTTAAGAGCAGATTTGAAGCTGATCTTGTGCGTTCTGTGCGGATGGTCTTCCTCTTTCATCTATACTTTGTTCTTCGTTATATGTTTCAATTAGATGTCACTATTATCTAAATATTTGAAAGAATATCACTTATGGCCTAAGAAATTGGCTACTAGGTGAAATTACTTTCTTTCTGGTGAATATTTTCGTCTGGAGAGATTCGAAAATCTTCTGCAGGAGGAGAGGATCGATATTTAATGCAAGAAATTGTGTGCCCAAGTGCCATTTCGTTGCCTCGCTCTCAATGATTTGTTGTCTGTACTTTTGTCAAGAAATCTTGGGTCAGTTAGACGGGTTGGGTTCCTTCTGGGATTTCTTCTCGGCACTGATGATTCCTGTTTTTCTTCCAGCCGCTTCCTGCAGAAGAGGAGAAGCAGCTGAAGGAAACACTGCAGGACATCATCGGGCAAGGGAAGACTGTGAAAGTAGAACAGAAGGTACCGCCCTCTCACTACATAATCAGTCAACTCTCAGACACTGCAAAGATTAATTGCAGCTATATCTCAAGACTGACTCTCTCTCTCTCTCTCTCTCTCTCTCTCTCTCTCTCATCTCGATCTCAAGACTGACTCTCTCTCTCTCTCTCTCTCTCTCTCTCGCATTTAACTATCTTTATGTGTGTACATATATGCATGCATTTGCCTGTTGCTGAAGGTGGATTCTTGTCTGCAGATTGATCCTAGCATCCTCGGAGGGTTAGTGGTGGAGTTTGGGCAGAAGGTCTTCGACATGTCGATAAAGACCAGGGCGAAGCAGATGGAGAGGTTCTTGAGGGAGCCCGTCAACTTTGAAAGCTTCTAGAAGCTTCCACTGCGGAAGCTTCCCCATTCCGATTCCCATTTCTTTCTTCTTTCGGTCTTGGCTTCGGAGTCTTGAGAAATAAGAACCCACTTACAGAGAAGAGAGGCCCTTTTGGGAGTGGGGGGCGGCGCAGCTGCCCACCCCGCAATTTGTTCTCTTTTACCATAAATGGACTGCCGTTGACTTTTTAAAGTATCGTCCTTTCCTTATTTAATCACCAAATCTGATGATGATCAGGCCATGTGGGTCATCTGGATCGGCTGATCCCATCCGACTCGTGGTGAGTAGAAGGTGTTCTTTTGTACTTGATGAAACTATGCAAAAATAAAATATAAATTAAAATAATCTGCGTCTTGTAAGCAAAAGCTGGTGCCTCGCATTATGGCATCGATAAATGGGACCAACAGAGAGATAGAGCAAGATACGGAGAGTAAGAAAGGGAGAGGGAGAGAGAGAGAGAGAGAGAGAGAGAGAGAGAGAGAGAGAGTGAAGTAGAAGCGAGTAGAAGGCCACCCCATGGCCCACAACGGTTACTTGTGAGTGAAGATAAATAAAACGAAAAATTGGAAGAAAAAATGGACCGAGAGATTGAGTCAAACTCACGAACATTTCTTTAACCCTGTTGATGGCTCATCCTCTTTGTAGAATACATTGATATTAATTTAGCAATTTACACCAAAGTTGAGGCATTTCAATGCGAGAACGGTTCTCACTAGAAAATATTAGGTTAAATAATTAGGAAAATTACATGGGCGGGCATAATGAATTGCTAGGCTAGATGGTTCGATTGGGTAATAATTCACAAAGGGCATGCTAAAAACAATAAAGTGAGTTTAGGCCCTAAATCACTGATCCTTATGCAGCCCAAATCGCACTTGTCTGTTAAACGATCAGAAAATAACTTGAAGATGCGACTTGGTTTTTGCAACTAGATATATTTCATATTTTTATTCAAACAGTTTATTTCAATTAAATATCTTCTCAAGCGTTCTCACTGAAAATAAATGCGAAAATTTGTAAGAATCTTAATCAGGTCTTCAATGTGAAATATAATTGAAGTTTCTAGTAAAAAATCTGTTTAATTTGATATTTCTTATGTGCTATCTCTTCCTGTCTCAAGAACGAATGAAGATGAGAAATAGAATAAAAAATTAATTAAAACCCTGTTTCATTCAGGAATAATTTGATATTCGACATTGATTATGAGCATATTTAACAGTAGATATGATGTCGAGAGAAAAATAGCGGAAAGTGTACAACTGAAGATCTATCTTCTTCTTCTCCTCTTTTCTACGCAAACCCTTTCACAGCCATCGCCATCATTCGACCACGAGTCAGTCAGAACTGTCACCATAATTCAACCAAACCCCGCTTCTTCTCGCTCCGCTTTCTCTCCTTTCTCTGTCTCTCTTGCATATAAGAGCCCATGGAGGGGAGAGAGAGAGAGGGGAGAGATGCTCCTCCGACCATCGCCGGCAACCGGGGTGGGAACTGCGGAAAGTCTCAAGGGGAAGCTTCCTCGACGGGGAGAAGAAATGAGGAAGTCGGAAGAGCAGACGGTGGGGGAGAGCGGCGCTGCTGAACTTCGGAAGGGGTTGTGGTCGGCGGAGGAGGACGAGAAGCTGATGAGGTACATGGCCAATGGGTGCCAGGGGTTGTGCTGGAGCGATGTCGCCAGGAACGCTGGGTTGCAGAGGTGCGGGAAGAGCTGCCGGCTCCGGTGGATCAACTACCTCAGGCCCGACCTCAAGCGGGGGGCTTTTTCTCCTCTGGAGGAAGAGCTTATCGTCCACCTGCATTCGCTTGTGGGCAACAGGTGATCTCTCTGTCTCCTGGCTGTCAGCCTCTCTCTCTCTATCTCTATCTCAAGTCTGACTCTCTCTCTCTTTCTCTCTCCCCCTCCCTCTCTCTCTCTCCCTCCCTCCCTCTCTCTCTCTCCCTCCCTCCCTCTCTCTCCCTCTCCCTCCTTCTCTCTCTCTCTCTCTCTCCCCCTCTCTCTCTCTCCCCCCCCCCTCTTCTCTCTCTCTCTCTAACGCAGTCTCTGTCCATCTACTTCTATACTTGAACCTTGAGATATTATATCCGTCTCCGAGAGGGGGGGGAGAGAGAGAGGAACCATGCAATACGTTTCTGTGCCTCCATCCGTCTCATTGCTAAGAGATCTACGTCTACTGTATAAGAAATTCTTAGCTCAGATTCGTCCCTAGATATATATGCACCTATGTTCAGAGAGAGACCACGAGAGAAGTTAAGTGAGAAAAAGAATGGCCGTGCTCGCACTTCTGCGCTTCCATCCTTCAAAGAGGGAGAAGCCTGAGGCCTCTATCTCCACCGTCTTCTCGGAAACTAAATTCTTTCCGCAAAACCATCTAGGTGGTCTCAGATCGCCGCCCGCCTTCCCGGCAGAACTGACAACGAGGTCAAGAACTTCTGGAACTCCACCATCAAGAAGAGACTGAAGACCACCTCCTCGTCGGCGCCGTCGCCGCCGCCACCAGCATCAGTGCTGCCTGCAGTTACTCAAGTCCCCGGCCGGTGCAACCCGTCTCCTCCTCCTGGCTACTTTGTCGCGCCGCCATTGCCCTCCCAAGCAGGTCTTCAAGGAGACGGAAGAGGGATTTTTGCGCCGCCGTCGGAGAGTCTGAGCTCGGAAGAGAACCCTAATGGGGGAAGCTCTCACTGGAGCTATTACAGTGCGCTGGAAGGGATCGAATATCATGGAAACGGCTACGAAGAGGGTTTCGATGGGAATTTATTGGGTGAAGAGGGGTTGAGGATGGGGGAGTGGAGCTTGGGAGATCTCATGGAGGACGTCGCTTCCTTCCCTTTCATTGATTTCTAGGTTGAATCATCTGCCTCTATGGGCCATTAGACTCGAGGTTTCACGATACTTACTCCTTTTATTTACTGAAGAGTATTGATTATTTTTAGATAAAGAGAGAAATATTACTGAGAGAGGACGAACCGTGGGAACCTCTCCCTCGCTAGGATGTTTCATCACTCATTTTGGGAAGTCAGAATTCAATAGCCATATTTTGGGTATTATGCTTGTCCCAATATCATGTGGGACACAAAGATGATACCTACTCAAATTCATGTATGATCTAGCTGTACCCATATAAAGTCATTAAGAATTCTAGTAAAGAAAGTACTAAAAAAACTAAATATTTTCACATAAGTCTAAGTAAGATTAATAAATATAGACTACGATCATGTGAGAGTATTATTGTGTGGGTCCTATATGAACTGACTCAGAACACTAACTGTGACTTACACTAACATTGTGTATATTATTAGTGTTTTGAGTCAGTTCATGTAAGAGCCACAATGAGTTCATTGAGAGGGAGCTTTACAGATTTTAACATACATCAAGCAAACCCCAGAGAAAGTACTCATCTATTGATGACATGACTATCTCCATGTTGAAACTTATTTTGATGATGAATATATAAGTGACAAGGGCAATCCAAAAGTTTAATATGGTTTATTGCACATATGTTAGAGGTAATCTCATCACTTGACAATCCTAAAAATAGAAGGTGATGTTGGAGATCTTCAAAAAGTGATCAAAGCTATATCATCTACCACACAATCTTAATCATGGCTCGATACTCAAATTAGTCATTAGAGTAGGACACCACCCTCTATTTTTGAGACTGCCAAGTAATGAGGTTACCTTCGACATATGTATAGTTACACATAGTAGACTTCTAGTTGTCCTCGTCACGTACATACCCACCATCAAAATAAGTTTCAATACGAAAATGGCCACATTGTTAGTAGATGAGTCCTTTTCTTAGAGCTCATTGAATGTATACAAAACCCATAGAACTCCTATTGTGGCTCCTATATGAACTAACTCAAAACATTAACTATATACATGATGTCAGGGTGAGTGACAGTGAGATATATTAGACTATACCAATTAATATCAAGAAGTAGACAAGAAGTATCCTAGAACTACAAATGGGCTTCTATGAGCAAAGTCTCTAGCTTATACTTGAGTCTAGTCTCTTAAAGTATGTCAAGAGCATACTTTCATTGGGTCATGGTGAGCTTTCTATCTTAGTATGCAAACTCGATCCCCTAAAGGTATTTTAGAGTCTCCAAGTCATAGATGTTGAGGTATTACTATAAATAAGCTTTGGTAGAATGAAGTCGGCCTCATCACTTTTAGTCACAAGAATGTCATTGACCTAGACTACGAGAATGATAGTGAGATATATTAGACTATACCAATTAACATCAAGAAGTAGACAAGAAGTATCCTAGAACTACAAATGGGCTTCTATGAGCAAAGTCTCTAGCTTATACTTGAGTCTAGTCTCTTAAAGTATGTCAAGAGCATACTTTCATTGGGTCATGGTGAGCTTCCTGTCTTAGTATGCAAACTCGATCCCCTAAAGGTATTTTAGAGTCTCCAAGTCATAGATGTTGAGGTATTACTATAAATAAGCTTTGGTAGAATGAAGTCGGCCTCATCACTTTTAGTCACAAGAATGTCATTGACCTAGACTACGAGAATGATAGTGAGATATATTAGACTATACCAATTAACATCAAGAAGTAGAGAGGAAGTATCCTAGAACTACAAATGTGCTTCTATGAGCAAAGTCTCTAGCTTACACTTGAGTCTAGTCTCTTAAAGTATGTCAAGAGCATACTTTCATTGGGTCACGGTGAGCTTCCTGTCTTAGTACGCAAACTCGATCCCCTAAAGGTATTTTAGAGTCTCCAAGTCATAGATGTTGAGGTACTACTATAAATAAGCTTTGGTAGAATGAAGTCGGCCTCATCACTTTTAGTCACAAGAATGTCATCGACGTAGACTACGAGAATGATAGTGAGATATATTAGACTATACCAATTAACATCAAGAAGTAGAGAGGAAGTATCCTAGAACTACAAATGTGCTTCTATGAGCAAAGTCTCTAGCTTACACTTGAGTCTAGTCTCTTAAAGTATGTCAAGAGCATACTTTCATTGGGTCAAGGTGAGCT